GCTTAGCTTAGCTTAGCTTTATCTTAGCTTCGCGTAGCTGTAGCTTAGCTTAGCTTAGCTTAGCTTAGCTCAGCTTAGCATATTCCCTACCTAGGCTCTGCCTAGAAGGGTTCTTACTCTCTGGGCTTAAAGGGGCCGGGCAGTGGAAATCGCCCCGGGCGGTTCGCCGATATCCGCCCCGCGGTTCCCCCAGTTACGTCCCCTTAGCTTAGCGTTGCTTATATCATCTTAGCTTAGCTTAATTCATCTTAGTTTAGCTTAGCTTCGTCTTAGCTCAGGCTTATTTTAGCTTAGCTTATATTCATCTTAGCTTCGCTGAGTTTTAGCATAGCATAGCACAGCAAAGCAAAGCGTAGCGTAGCCTAGCATAGCGCAGCACAGCATATCATAGCATAGCCCAGCATAGCATAGCATAGCGCAGCCCATTCCCTACCTAGACTCTGCCTAGAGGGTTAGCTTAGCTTAGCTTAACATAGTGCAGCGCTGCATTAGCATAGCATAGCATAGCATAACATAGCCAATCATAGCATAGCATAGCATAGCGCAGCATAGCATAGCATAGCATAGCATAGCATAGCATGGCATGGCATAGCATAGCATAGCATAGCATAGCGCAGCTTAACATAGCATAGTATAGCATAAAATAGCTTAACATAGCACAGCGCAGCATGACCTAACATAGCTTGGCATAGCATAGCATAGCATAGCGCAGCATAGCATAGCATAGCATAGCATAGCATAGCATAGCGCAGCATAGCATGGCATAACATAGCATAGCATAGCATAACAATTAATGCTGCTTTCCTAGGGGCTCCAACTTCTAGGTAAGGTCGCACTGGGGTAATTTTTCAGTTCGCGTTCCCTCATTCTTGGGCCCCTCTTTGGGCCTTCTTGGGACCCTCTTGCGCCGTCTTGGGCGGCTCGGGGGCCGTCTCGGGGCTCTCTTGGGCCGTCTTGGGGCCCTCTTGGGGGCCTCTTGGGCCGTCTTGGAGCGGTTTGGGGAGCCTCTTGGGCGGTGCTTTAGCGCCAGAAACTCGAAACAGCGAGAATGCGAAAAAGCATTGAAAAAGAAATGAAAATCAACGATTTTGCCCTCTCGGGGCGCTCTCGGGCGGCATCCTAAAGGCCTCTTGGGGCATCTTGGGGGCCTCCGGGGCAGTTTAAAACGCATCGTGCGGCCTCTTGGGGGCCTCTTGAGGCCTCTTGGGGGCTTCCTGGGGGCCTCTTGGGGCCTCTTAGGGGCATCTTGGGGCGGAGAGCTGGGTTTATTAGCTCGCGTTCCTTCTCTTGGGCCCCTTCTGGGGCCTTCTTGGGACCCTCTTGCGCCGTCTTGGGCGGCTCTGGGGCCGTCTCGGGCCGTCTTGGGGCCTCTTGGGGGCCTCTTGGGCCGTCTTGGAGCGGTTTGGGGAGCCTCTTGGGCGTCCTTTAGCGCCGGAAACTCGAAACAGCGAGAATGCAAAACAAAACAACAACAAAAAAGCTAATGATAATCAACGATTTTGCCTCTCGGGGCGCTCTTGGGCGGCATCCTAAAAGCCTCTTGGGGCATCTTGGGGGCCTCCAGGGCAATTTAAAACGCATCGTGGGGCCTCTTGGGGGCTTCCCGGGGGCCTCTCAGGGCTCTCTTGGGCCGTCTTGGGGCCCTCTTGGGGGCCTCTTGGGCGGCCTTGGAGTGGCTTTGGGAGCCTCTTGGGCGGTGCTTTAGCGCCGGAAACTCGAAACAGCGAGAATGCGAAAAAACAGTGTTATAAAAAACACTGAAAATCAACGATTTTGCCCTCTCGGGGCGCTCTTGGGCGGCATCTTGAAGGCCTCTCGGGGCGTCTTGGGGGCCTCCGGGGCAGTTTAAAACGCATCGTGCGTCGCCAGAGACTCTCGAGACCGTCTGGGGCCGCCGGGATTGCTGTCTGAGGGCTCCCCAGGGCGATCTTAGGCCTCCCAGAGGCGGGCTGGGGCCCTGGGGCCTACATTTGTGGTCGAGGTTCTGGCCCTGGGCCCCTGGGCCTGGTGCGCCGTTATGTATAATATATCGATATATATATATATATGTGAATATATATATATATATATATATATATATATATATATATGTGCGTGTGTAAATATATGTATATATACATACATATATATATATGTGTATACATATATATATATACATACATACATACATACATACATACATACAGACAGACAGACAGACAGACAGACAGACATGCATACATACATACACATATACACACATACATGTACATATAGGTAAGTCTACACATGTGTGCTTTGCTTTACGAAGGATTGGCAGACCTTCATGGACGCATGCAAGGAGACTAAATCATGCACCCCAGCGGGAAAATGAAGATGATAAGAGCCGACAATGGCAAGAAGACATAGAAGACATACGCGCGGGTCGACAGACAGCAAAGCATTAGCTACGAGACAGAAGCGCAGAAAGATAGCGAGAGAAGACAGTCGAAGAGGCGAGGAAGCGAGAAAGCTGCGGCTCCGACAGAGACCACCTTGCCTCGACGTCGCCGGTGGCCTGATGGAGAGAGGGACTGACAACGGCACTTCCTGGCCCTCCTCGAGAGCTTCTCGCCCTGCTCCTGCCCCAATTGTTCCTACACCATTGCTCATGCTGCATCTCCGGCTTGCCGATGCCGCTGCCACAGCCGCTTTTGCTGCCGCTACCGCCGTAGCCGCTGCCGCCAACGCTGCTGCTCTTATTGCTGCCGATGTGATACGATTGGTGCTGCTGGTGCGGCTGCTATCAATGATCCCCCTGCGCGCAACCACCGCCCACAAATCCACGAAATGTGATGAAAAGAAAAAGAATCCACCGACCCCCGCCTGCTGGGGGTGAACAGGCATGTGACATGTTTGGATGTCCCCGTCCCCGTTTCCCCCTCCTGGGGATCCAAAGTCCCGTTGGAGGGGATGGGAAGGGGAACCGAGCTCGGCAAGCTCACTGGTTTCCCAATGATTTGGAGATTTCCGAAACCTCGCCTTGCAGTAACTCTCATCACTCCTGGCATTATTATGAATGCTGCTGCTGGCGAACTAAACAGAGGATGAATGATATCCATGTATTGCCTCTCTCACACGCGGATAACCAATATCATAACATTAATAAACATGGAAATGGAACTAATAACAAACATAACAATTACTCCGACGGATAAACCCCACATAAGAATCCTCTGGGCGAATCTGGAAAAAGCCATCACCGTCGTCCTCGTGGTTGGTGAGGCGTCCTGGCTGTCTCTTCTGCGTATATTTCCTCTCGCCTTGGCGCGGGCCCCCCTTTCCACTCCTTAAATTGTCCCCATCCTCGCCCCCCTGTTTGTTCCGCGCCCCGCCACCTCCTCCCCTTCCTGTTGCATGAGCGCGCATGTCGATGTTCCTCGGCGCCGTCGCCGCCACGGCCAGCACAGGCGCGTTCTCTACTGGTCACGTCGCGCAGCCGTTGGGACAACCCCGCGGGCCAGGCTGTCGGGACAACCCCGCGAGCCGTTGGCGCGCAAGACCAAGCCGTTGGGACAACCCCGCGGGCTTCGAGCGAGGCGCAGCCGCGCTCAGGCGGAAGGCAGCACGAAGCCCAGCTCTGCCGCGAGCTGCTTCGCCTCCGCCCTGGACAAAACCGCTCTCTTGTCGAACTCCAGGAGCGCCTTCCGCAGGGACGCCGGCGGCCCGCACTCCAGGAACTCTCGCGGCGGCGGCCGCAGGATCAGCATGTTCCGCATGCACGTGGCGCGGGAGAACATGACGTAGAGGTGCAGCCACCACTGCTCGTCCGACATGCCCGTGCGGCCAGCGTCCTCGTCTCTCGCGCAGTCGATGGTGACGCCCTTGCGCAGCGTCTGGCCCTGCGACAGCGTGGAGGTCAGGTAGGACGCGTGCGTCAGGGTGAACCCCGAGCGGCGCACGCTGTGCGCCCCCGAGCTCTGCCATGTGAACTCCCTTTCGCTGGGCCTGAACATCAGCAAGCTCCGCGCCCGCGCCTCGGCCTGGCCGTCGTCGTCGGCGCCTTCGGCGCCCTGTCGCAGCACCTCGGCGACCTGAGGAGCCCAAAAACTTCCTTGTTGCGTCCAAAATGTGGCCTGGGAGCTGCGTTCTGGCAGCGCGAGAACCCAAAATTGACGACAGTTACAGGTTTTGGATGACCCGCTCGGATTACCAACATGATCTGCGGGCCCCATAGGGAGGGGGCTCCCGCCTGAGACTTCCTCGCAGTTCACTCACAGACGAGGCTCCCGCCTGAGACTTCCTCCATATTCAGGCTTGAGGAGCCCAAAAGTGACGACAGTTACAGGTTCCGATGACCCGCTCGGATTACCAACATGATCTGCGGGCCCCATAGGGAGGGGGCTCCCGCCTGAGACTTCCTCACAATTCACTCAGAGACGAGGCTCCCGCCTGAGACTTCCTCCAAATTCAGGCTTGACGAGCCCAAAAGTGACGACAGTTACAGGGTTCCGATGACCCGCTCGGATTACCAACATGATCTGCGGGCCCCATAGGGAGGGGGCTCCCGCCTGAGCCTTCCTCAGAATTCACTCACAGACGAGGCTCCCGCCTGAGACTTCCTCCAAATTCAGGCTTGAGGAGCCCAAAAGTGACGACAGTTACAGGGTTCCGATGACCCGCTCGGATTACCAACATGATCTGCGGGCCCCATAGGGAGGGAGCTCCCGCCTGAGACTTCCTCCCAATTCACTCACAGACGAGGCTCCCGCCTGAGACTTCCTCCATTTTCAGGCCTGGGGAGCCCAAAAGTGACGACAGTTACAGGTTCCGATGACCCGCTCGGATTACCAACATGATCTGCGGGCCCCATAGGGAGGGGGCTCCCGCCTGAGACTTCCTCACAATTTACTCAACGATGATGAGGATGAGGATGATGAGTGGTGGTGAAGATGAGTGGTGAAGAGGATGATGATTGATTGTGAGTGGTGGTGGCGATGATGATGTTTGAATGAGGATGATGCCGATGCCGATGATGATGATGATGATGATGTCCGTGAGCGTGTGAGAGAGTGCGAGTGATTCTGATGATGAGTATGTGAGTGACTAAGCATGTGAGAGAGCATCATCGATGATGCTGATGAGGTTGATGATGAGAGAGTGTGAGTGAGTGTGAGTGGGTGTGTGTGTGTTCCTGTTCCTGCGCGGGGTGTCCAGAGAAAACAAGAACCCCACTTTGGATGTGGGGAATAATAACGAGAATAGTGATAATAAAAATACTACAAAAGGAAGTGAACATACTAAGGATAATTATATTAACACAAATCACAGCCATCCGAAAAATCATAAGAAGAAGCATGATCACACTAGTAATACTGATATGCATTATGCCAACATCAATGAAAACAATTAGCCTGGCGAAGGACCCACCAAAATGCAGTTGTGCGAACCGCAATTGTGAATAGTTTCTTCGATGGCGCTCCCTATGGAGCCACGAAGCCTGTGAGGGGTGTGCCGAAATTAGTGCGGCAGACGCATGTGGACGGAAGCACGGGGTCCTTCGGTGGAGCTCCCTATGGGGCCCCGAAACGTGAGAGGGGGGTGCCGACATGGGTGTGGTGGACGCATGCAGGCGGTGGTATTGGGGCCTTCGATGGAGCTCCCTATGGGGTGAAACGTGTGAAGGGTGCGCCGAAATGGGTGCGGGGGACGCATGTGGATGGTGGCACTAGGGCCTTCGGTGGTGCTCCCTATGGGGCCACGAAACGTGTGAGAGGTGTGCCGAAATGGGTGGGTGACGCATGCGGGCGGTGCCACTGGGGCCTTCGGTGGAGCTCCCGATGGGGCCACGAAACGTGTGAGGGGTGTGCCGAAATGGGTGTGGCGGACGCATGCGGACGGTGCCTCTGGGGCCTTCGGTGGAGCTCCGTATGGGCCCACGAAACTTGCGAGGGGTGTGCCAGAAGGTGTGCAGCGGACGCATGTGGACGGTGGCACTGGGGCCTTCGGTGGAGCTCCCTATGCGGCCACGAAACGTGCGAGGGGTGTGCCGACATGATTGTGGTGGACGCATGTGGACGGTGGCACTTGGGCCTTCGGTGGAGCTCCCTATCGGGCCACGAAACGTGTGAGGGGTGTGCCGAAATGGGTGCGGGGGGCGCATGCGGACTGTGGCACTGAGGCCTTCGGTGGAGATCCCTATGGGGCCACGAAACGTGTGAGGGGGGGGGGTCGAAATGGATGTTTGGACGCATGCGGACGGTGGCACTGGGGCCTTCGGTGGAGCTCCCTTTGGGGCTGCGAATCGTGTGAGGGGGGTGCCGAAATGGGTGCGGGGGGCGCATGTGGACGGTGCCTCTGGGGCCTTCCGTGGAGCTCCCTATGGGGCGACAAAAAGTCTGGGGGTGTGCCAAAGTGAGGGGGGTGACGGGAGGAGGGAGGAGGAGGAGGCGGAGGAAGGAGGAGGAGGAGGGGGTGGAGGAAGGAAGGAAGGAGAGGAACGCGGGCCGCTGTCTCTTCAAAACGAGGACCCAACACCACAGGATGGTTGGCAATGATAACAACAATAAGTGAAAAATTAGCTTGGCGAAGGACCCAACCATATGCAGTTGTGAGCGCCGTCGTTGTATGCACCGCATTCGGAGGAGCTCTCTATAGGGCCACGAAACGTGTGAGGGGTGTGCCGAAATTAGTGTGGCGGACGCATGCGGACGGGTGGGCGCATGCGAAAGCAGCCACTGGGGCCGTCGGTGGAATTCCCTATGGGGCCACGAATCGCGTGAGAGGCGTGCCGAAATAGGTGCGGTGGGCGCATGCGGACGCAGCCACTGGAGCCGCCGGTGGAGCTCCCTATGGGGCCGCGAAACGTGTGAGGGGTGTGCCGAATTGGATGCGGTGGGCGCATGTGGACGGTGCCACTGGGGCCTTCGGTGGAGTTCCCTATGAGGCCACGAAACGCGTGAGGGGTGTGCCGGAATGGGTGTGGCGGACGCATGTGGACGGTGCCACTGGGGCCTTCGGTGGAGCTCCCTATGGGGCTTCGAAACGTGCGAGGAGTGTGACGAAATATGTGTGGGTGAACCATGCGGGCGGTGGCACTAGGGCCTTCGGTGGAGCTCCCTATGGGGCCACGAAACGTGTGAGGGGTGTGCCGAAATAGGTGTGGCGGGCGCATGCGGGCGGTGGCACTGTGGCCTTCGCTGGAGCTCGCTATGAGGCCTCGAAACGTGTGAGGGGTGTGCCGAAATGGGTGTGGGTGACGCATGCGGGCGGTGGCTTGGGTGCCTTCGGTGGAGCTCCCTCCACGAAACGTGTGAAGGGTGTACCAAAAGGAGTGTGGGTGACGCATGCGGGCGGTGGCACTAGAGCCTTCGGTGGAGCTACCTGGGGCCACGAAACGTGTGAGAAGGGCGTGCCGAAATGGGTGTGGGTGACGCATGCGGGCGGTGGCACTGGGGTCTTCGGTGGAGCTCCCGATGGGGCCACGAAACGTGTGAGGGGTGTGCCGACATGAGTGTGGGTGACGCATGCCGGCGGTGCCACTGGGCCTTCGGTGGAGCTTGCTACGAGGCCACGAAA